AACTTCCATAAACGTAAGCAGCGTGTTAGTGAACGCAATTATTTTATGAAGTCAGAGGAAGACACTTAAAGAATTTAGAGCTTCAGTAGCTGTTGTATTGCTTTCACAAACTCCAGTCCCAGTTAGGACTGGATGACTATATCAGTTTAAAATGATCCCCAGACCGTATTATTGTTTATCACAATAATTTCTGAGACAATTTATCATCACAAAATATGTTTTCATGACAGGTCTAATGAAAATCTATTTTTTAATTAGCCTTCAGTAATTTCATAGTCTTTGTTTGATAAGTGAACAAATGTTCATGAAATAAAAAGTCCRGGTTCCCTTTACTGTCTAAGATGATTCAGAACATTTAAATATTAGCATCATTTTGAAAATATAAGATTTTTTCCTTCACTCTGTCTCCTTTTCATTCAGGGCATGATTTAGTTTTTCTTTACGTATATATTACTGTTCACTGATTTTGTGTTATGAATGAAATAAATTAAAAATTTAGTTGTTGATCTACAACAAAATAAATAAAGTTAGCGAGTTTAGTTTAAAATGCTTTTAATTTTTTCTCAAATATTTGGATGTCAAGGTCCATGGAAAGGTTATGAATAATAAATTTCTTAAACCAATATAAAAGAGTTATTGTAAAACTATCAATTTGAGGAAAAAAAAAGCTTTCTCGTGAGCCACTCTGATCTTTTTAAGACCTGGATTATTTTAAAAATGCAGCAAAACTTTATTTTATTTAAACTATTTGTTTGCTCATCAACTCTGTCCAAATTAAACACAGTTTCACCAAACTGAGGTCCTTTRAACAGCCATCTACAACAAGATTTTAACTAATCATAAGTGCATAGCTCCCTTCTTTACAGAGTCATAAATATTGTTTTGACTATGAAAAAACAGTTTTGAAGAAATTTAAGTGTTATAGAATAATAGGCTGTGGACTTCACAAATGTGTGTTTTATGGAGAAGCGTTCATTGGTACAAAAAATGAGGCACGGTGGTGGCAGTATCATGCTGTKAGGATGTTCTCCAGTGTTCAGCTTAGGGGTTCTGTGAGTTCTGTGCCTGTGATATGAAAAAATATTTTTTCCAAAGCCAAATCAAATTTGTGAAATTTTTAAATTCAATACTTGTAAAAATGTCTCACAAAGGTCAAACACCCATGTTGTATTTTTGAGCTGAGTTGTTACAGATGTTTGCCATCAGTTCCAACTACACCTCGCTGCAGCATGCAGTACTCTCACTGCACAAAGACCCGTTTGATCAAAGTCAAAGCTTCYATTGAAATGTCATACAAATAATGGGTTAATTCAGTGGTTCCCAACCTATTTTCCTCAAAGCCCCAATTTCWTATTTCCATGTCAAGTTAGCATAATGCTAATWTATCAGAACACTCACACATGAAAAACACATTTTCTCAATAGTTTACAACACAAAAATTAAATTACACGGTTGCATAATATTGCAATACCAAACAGCTTACCATGCTGGGCAATGTATTTACCTGTAAACGTAGAAGTATTCCTTTTTTGTTTGTTTGTTTCTTTTAGTCTCTTCTGGTTTTGACAATTCTGGTTTCACACAAAGTTTTTCCGAACAAAAGTAGACAACATATAGAGCCCCTTAGTGGAATGGAGGAAGTCAATGCAACACCCCACCTCTAGCAAAGACACGTTAAACGTTTATCCCTTTATCAAAATAAAAGAATAAAGAAAACGTTAACAAACTTTTATTTGGAAAAAAATTTGGGTTACAGAGTTTAGTCACTCAAATGGACTTGTCTTGGTGACTTTTATATACAAACAATGAATTGATATTTTCACAACCTCTGAGCAGCCAAGGCTTTGGGCCCCCCTTGTGCTCTTTGCTGCCCCCCCACCCCACCACCAGGTTGGGAACCACTGGGCTACAGGATCAGACACTAGCAGAAGGGCTTCCACCAACAAGCCAAATTCTTCAACCTTATGAGACCACCCAAATAACAAGGAGACAGGTGTTAAATACAGATTTAAATGCCTGGAATGGTTTAGGGCAGACATCTTTAGAAGGGCTGCTGAGCTCACTCACATCTGCTTTAACAGGGGATGAGCTGACATTATAATGCATGTACAGGCTGCATGTGGACAGTCACCAGGACCTGGATCCACACACACACACACACACACACACACACACACACGTAAAGCATCGGTGCACCCTCAGCTGTATTCCTGCATCATTCCCTAAAACATCTCATTGCTTATTCTAATCTGAGGTGCAGCTCAACAAGCAACAAAGACGTAAACTTTGAATGCTACGTGTGAAGCTCAACACAGCAAGTCTTTTATATTTACAGCCATCAAATGGGAAATGATGCTCTAATGCACAATTAAATTCAAACGTGTGCACGTTTCTCCAGTGAACAGTGTTTAAATGGCAAAGCAGAGAGCAAGAGGAGCATATCTGAGACTTTAAGCCTGAAAATCTGCATAATGTTTGTTTTCATCCAGTAAAGTGTTAAGACGTGTGATGGTGGAAGCATGAGATCTGCAGATTATCATTAGGAGGATCACAAAGAGGCATTCGGGGGTACTGAACAGGAACGAGGAACTAAGATGGATAGAAAAAACTTTACATATTAATTAGAGCGTAGGAGAAGACACATGATAAATTAAAATTGTTTTATGGATTTACTCATTGTTGCCTCATGGACACAAACTGTTTAATAAAAAGACAAATGTTACCAGACAAAGAAAACTGCTCTGCAAGTCTTTGCAGATAACRCAAATGTTATATGCTACTGAAAAAATAAACCTCAACAATTTTAAAGAAAACTACAATTATGTTATTTAAGAAGTGTTATGTTCATTACCTTTTTTGTTTTATACCAAAAACATGTTTTTTTTTAAGTTGACATGTTATCACTTTTTTAAAAGAGGCTGGTTGCAAAAAAATACACTCTCAGGATTTTAAAATTACTAAAATGTAATGTTAGAACAGTGAGCTAAATAACAAAGRAAATTTATTAACTAGGATTTTACTCTCAGAAAATGAGCTAAATAATGAAAATGTGCTAGKGACATTTTTTCARCATTTTATKTTATACTTTGCACCTCATAATRCAGGGTGTAATGGCAGAATTCAAATTCAGTTAAGGTCATTAACAAAAAAAGTTGTAATTTGAATGGCATCCGGGGGTTGTGGATGCATGAAAAAAGTGTGGAGTKATCAACAGCTTAGAAATATACTGCAATGCAATTTGATAAATAGTTTGTGTGCTATTTTTGACTAAATACATTGGTAAATAAATGTCACTAGTTTAAGACTCCTAAATATAACAGCAGACTCTTCTTCTTCCAGGGACTAAAAAAAGCCCCTGGAGGTCAGGCAGTGATGCGTTCAAGAACACCGAAAATATTCGTTTTCGTTAGTGTGAAGGCGGCCAGACAAGATCGTCTCCTCGCTTTGTAGCGTAAACTGGCGTTTAACATAAACCTTACTTACCCAGTTTCGTTTTTTAGGTCATCTATTTTAACGAGAAAAAATATAATAAAATCTTAGTGCAGCAGCAGAATATTTAACCTGATCATCATAAATTATCAGTTTAWATGCGTCAACAAATGAAGTAGTATCTACACACTCGCCGTTTAAGAATAAAACTTTTAACTGCTGAAAAACGCGCTGTCTCTAGCTTGATGATAAATTAAAATGTAAAATAGTAATAATAATAATAATATGAGATCAAACTGTGACGTAGGTTCTTGGTAGCATTGAGCCTCTTTTCAATAAGTAGAATTTACTTAGCTTTAGCGGAGACCCTGAAAGCAACTCAGGACCCCACGACTACATCCGGGTCATCTAGTTTCACGTGTTCGGCTGTTAGCGTCAAGAGCAGCTCTTTGTTTCGAATGAGGAGATGGTAAAAACGTATTTTTTTGCTAGCACCGTAACACGTAACCTCTGCTCTAAACAGTACTGTTTTTTTTAATTATCGTGCCCCAATGAGCTAGTGAAAGCGGCTTTGCTTGTGCTAAGTAGTTGGCTAACGCTTAAGAGAGCCTGACAGGACAGGCGGTAGAGTTTCTGCTAAATTTAGCTGTAAAAACCACCTGCTGAGTTTCATTCATTCTGCACAGGCTTTGAACACATCGTGTGCTTGGGTTCGGTTTACTTTTAGGGCTAGTCGCTGTGTTTTCTCTGGTGTAAGTTTAGTTAGCTGTGGTTCACAGATCTTATTAAAACATGTCTTTGTGTCTGTCAGGCGCTGATGGGGGTCCAGCTGGTAGTCAGCTTGCTGGCTGCCAGCATCATGCAGAGGATGGCTCCACACTGCTCCTTTGCACGCTGGCTCCTCTGCAATGGCAGGTTAATACCACTCTGCATTTACTTTGTAATTTGTGCACACACACACAATATCCTATGGATTAGTTATTACTAATTATTATCTTATTACTAATATTAMTACTGTTCTTACCATCATTGTTTCCAGTTTGTACAGATTCAAACACCCTTCTGAGGGAGAGCTGTGTGCRTTGGCAGGCAAGCAGATGCCCAAACAAAACAGGAAAGACAGGTAAGATGATTTATTTTTGCTCCTTGGGAACATTTGATTTATTTCTTTACTTTTTTTTTATTCATTGTCTGCATTCTTCAATAGAAAGATGGCAAGCACATGTATATGTTTAGTTTGAGGGGTTGCAGATCTGTCTTGAATTGTCTACCTCTGGTTTTCCCTTAAACGTTTCTTCAACAAAACTTCTAATATATCTGTGTCTACTGGTAGAAGACAGAATGGGGAGAACAAGCCTCTAACTGTGCCCAGAGACATCGACCTTCACTTGGAGAAAACTCCAGTCAATGTGATGGATGCTCTTGGTAAAACAAACTTTTCTTCTTGCATAAATTCACTGCAAACTTAAATACTGTCCTGAGCTCATCGACTGACTGCTAACTAATTTTACGGGTGCACAGTTTTAGCAACGCTTAACAGAATAATTATAAAATGCAGATTTAATAAAGCTTTAGTTTAATTAAAATAATCATTGATAGTTTTTGTTTCTGTTTTCAGTGCTGCGTTTTTTTCTGGAGTACCAGTGGCTGGTGGATTTTGCAGTTTATGCGATGGGTGTCTTCCTGTTTACTGAGTGTTACTACAGTGTGGTAGATGCCAGCAAAGAGGTCAATATTGGAGCCATTTGGTGTGTCCTGACTGTTCTTTTTGGTCTGTATCCTTCAGCTGAAAAACAAAACAGCAACTGCAATCATTTGCAGCACCGACTTTTTACATCTTGTGGCATTTTAAAGCTTCAGTAACTTTTTTTTTTTTTTTACTATTAGGAGTAAGAAACCAGCTCGTACCTGAACAGTTATGTTCTTACTGACATCTGTACACCCACAATCACTTCACCTCCACATCTGCTCACACATTCCCAAAGCACAACATCCAACTAGACCATAAAGGACAAGAAAATATATTGTATCATAGGCTAGATGTGACCCATCACATCGAAACAAGGATTAAGTTCAAAAGTGGAATGTGGAGAAATAGGCAGAGATGGGGTTTTGATTTAAATATGTGCAAAAAATTGCAATTTGTCAACATTTAATGAATTAATGCCTTTTCAATGGATCTTATGAATGAACTGTCTGAAATATAATACTAAAACAAAATTTGAAATATTTGTTCTTGAGC